ATACCGGGGACTGTAATATTTTTTCCATTGAGAGCCTGTCTCTGTTCCTCTCTGCCTCTTTCATTTATCTAGCAATTTTCTCTGATACTCTTTGTCTGTCATTCCGTCTTACGTACCTTACCTACCAGACCTCTATCGGTGCTTGCTGCTATACCTCGGCCACAAATACAGCCGATACTATGCTATGTCGACATTATGTCTACAACGCCATGTCATGAGTATTGCATTCTGCGAATTTCAGCATTAATTTTGAACCTCTATGTGAAAATTCAATAACGCGTCGACATTCATGAAGTTTAGGGTCGTATTCATAGTCATTATTTGATGCAGGATTATGATTTCATGAATATCTATCTGTCATTTATTTTTTATCTTTTATAAATTCGAAGTCTTTAAATATTCTCTTTGATAAACGATAAATTCAATTGTTGATTATTTAGATAGGATGACACATTTAATATATCTTTTCAGGTGTCATATTATCTGCTTTCGTATAACGTATAACTTTTATATGTACAATTATAATACTAATATATTATGAAAAATAGCATTTATAATCGAGGGACAAACAGTTTAGCAGATGTCAAAGTATATTCCAATTAATTACAACTTGAAAATTATTTACTATGAATCAATAATTATACAATATAATAAACAAAAGCTGAGTGATTATAATCAGTTAATAATTATGATTATCCAAATATTAATTCGTGAAATTTAAAAAACTTGATAATAATATTCGTGAGTTCAAATCTGTTTAGCTAACTGGTAAATACGTTTGCTATTAGATATCAAAAATATTTCACGATTATTTCCATCTATGAATACCACCCTTGGAGCTTGACTTAAAATCTTGTTCACCAACTCGGTGAATAATTTGATAACAAAAAGAAAAGAAGAAAAGTATTGCATTGAAGTATGGCAGCATAAACGACGTATCAATAGTAGTTCTAGTATAGTAACATCGATATATTGTGCAACATATATTCATTATGTTTTCCGTGTAATGTTAGCAGTCTAAAAGAAAGAGTATTACCTCAAACCATAAAATCAAATTAAACTTGTCAATGTCGACTCGATAGCAGTGTTCGGCGGTGTGTGATCGTTTATTTCCAAATTATCATCAAAGACGATGATAATTTGCATATTGATGCAAAAATTCCGTAATTCGAGTAAAGTCGCGAGTAAAGACCATTTTTATTTGGTAATCATGCCGAATTGATTTTATTAGCTGATCGAAGATTCGATTGCATTTCGCCCGACTCTGCTCTGCGACAGTCGTCTCAGTCTCACGTTCTCTTGCATTAAATCGCGTTCCTGCTCGAGACAACTATAAATAAAGAAAAAGCACACAATGCCGAACGAGAGAGTATCGGCCTCCCGCCTGTTTGTACCATTTGTCCTCATACAACTAACTCCAATGGAATAGTTCCTCTGAGCTGACCGTGGTAAAAAGCACGGGGTGTGATGATCAGCAGCTGTGTGACAATGATGATGATGATGATGATGTCAATCGCATGCGATATGATATAACTAAAAGCGATACAGTACCGTATTGTCGATTAATCCCATACCCGTAGGGTTACGTGGTTAAATCCGGATATAGGCGTTGTCTTTCCTCGGGGGAGGGGTGTTGGTTGGTTCAGATTCACACGTACACTTGTCTTACATATATGTACGAATGTATAATAAAACTTTAATCACAACACACCTACAGGTTGAAACGTGCAATCGGGAGCCGGTCGTAAGATTCAGACAGTACGGGACCTCACGTTCGGTAACTAAACATTACTTGTACTACATAAAAAAAAAGATCAAATCGATTATTTCATGTAAATCGTATAAATGTGAATGTTATTCGTGCAAATATAATCATATGAATATAAATGATCTTTATTACAGAGGATTACAGAGAGCCATAAACACGGAATAAAAGAAATAATTGGAATCAGATAAAATGAGCAGAACTACTCGACAGAAAATGTCAATGATAAATCAAGCTGTTGAATCTTATAGAAAAGTTCCCGATAGCATAGGTCGTATTCTCGACGAATCTGTGAACTGTTCTATCGGAATATAAAAGTACAATTAAGACATAAAGCAGCGGAAGCTCGATTGCTCGAACACCATTTAACCGAATATTCCATCATTCGAACGGCGTGAAAAACGTTCAACGATTGTCCGAGTCAGTAGCTTTTACGAGAAAACGTCCGTCCGAACAGTCGCATATTTTTCCTGTGCTATTCAAATGATCAGACATTCGGTCAAATGGCATTCGGTATAATGGAGTTTCTACTGTATCTGATCATATATACAGGACGTCGCGAAATGAATGACGGTGCGATTGATAACGAATCTGGTAGTGAAAACGGAAAGTCGGCGGTCTTGGAGTCCGCATACATTTGCTGAAAAAAAGAGCAAGAGCTCCGCTTTGTTAATAACTGTCTCATTTCGCGACAGCCCACATACATATGCGCACGTGGATACATCCATGTGCATATGTATATATGTATGTATGTATGTATATACATATATGTGTATACATATACATATATTTAAATGCCATCAGCTTGGCTTATATATCATGATATTTTCATTATTCGTTTTTTTGTTTTAATGCATTCGCAAGATTGAAGTAAATTGTCGTAAAGTATAAGTATATACTCAAGTAATCGTAGAATACTTTTGATTGATTCGTTGACAAAAGTGGTGGATCTCGAAATATGCTTGAGGGTGCATAATATCTCATCAGTCTTCAGACACGCATACGTTTCTACTCTTTTCTACATTCTCTTTGTTTCTTTTCTTTTCTTGTTTCTCCTCCTTGTCCTCTTTTGTTCTGTTTTACCTTATACTCTCCTGTGGAACTCATAATACAAAAAATCGGAGCATGAACACATGTATATGTATGTCTATATACTTCACATATATTATGTGTTTTGTGCGACACTATACTCGTCAAGAGTTGCTCTCTTCCTCCACATTCGTTCATTACTCATATATGATATATAACTGTATATACATATATTTATACATATATATTTATATATATATATGTATATGTAAAAATGCCTGTGCTTTTCTTTATCATGCTTCTCTTTCTCTCTCCCTCTCCCTCTCTCTTTCTCTCTCTGTTTTTCTCTGTCTCTCTCTATCTCTCTCTCTCTCTCTCTCTCTTTCTGTTTCCAATGAAATGTCACATGTTACTTGACCCTATTCTTTATTACCGCTTTGAATGGTTATTTGTAAAAACGACGAAGACGATTTCCGACACATGTAAATAACATTAGAAACGTGAAGATAGATATGTAATTCGTAGGTACTTTTCTCGATTATCTTTCTTTTTTTTTATGCTGCCGATGTGTAGAAATTTGGCCGCGTGTTTTTAATTGAATTTTTTTTTTGCGGACGCTCTGTGATACATTTACAGTGTGTATCGGTTATATACGTCATGAAATTTCGAAATGTCACGGTAATTCGAGACGATTATCATTGCGCAAACAAGAGTTTCGTATCAAATTTCACCTCACGTGCACAATACACGGGAAAATTTGTCCAATTCCGTCTCACGGGGGAAAAAACGCGACAAAGTGTATGCACAGGCGACGTACTCTGGTTTCATTATTCCATATAAATTAAATAGAAAATTTAATAGAATATCTTCTTTAATAGAATTTCGACTGATATTTTGCTGGTGACCACAGTAGAGAAGTTTTTACAATCTATGTTCTTTTTTTATATTTGTATATTTTATATCATTACAATTCGATACTTTTGTATGTTCCTATTTGATCCCTTTATCCGTTTTTTATTACATCTTCGTTCAGACTACTTTTACGTCTGACTTTGTCTACGCCCACTTTGCTCTTATCTCTGTCGTGTCTACTTCTTGGGGGACTCTAAATCCTGGAATCGTAGAAAAAACCGACGCGATCTTTCGACAGACTAGAGTCCTCACGCGGGTATCATTAATGTGTATGTGTATGAAATATAATTTAATACCTGTTCGCGTTAGCATGCTCTCTGCGCGCGGAAAACGCAGAGTCGGGAGAGCCGTATTTTTAGAGGTAGAAGTACACTAGCCGAGAGAGATGAATCGAATGCATCCCTAGAAGCAAGCAAATTTAGAGAGCCACCAAGAATGTGGTAACGTAATTGCCATGAAGCATGATGACCTTCCGACATTGAGACTAAATAAGCGTCCAGTCGGTACCACGTTCCGATATCGGTCTTCGATACCCATTTGTTCCCTGTTTTTGCACTCTTTCTTCGAAATTTTTAGACGGCGATTACTGCTTAATGGTCTCCTCGTAGTGTCAATGTTGGTAGAAACTTTTTTTTTTTTACGTTTGTGCTATTACAACGGGGCTATCGATACTTTTTTCACGCGTCCGGCATTTGAACTCATTTTTATCGCACGTGTCCGCGTTATCGCAGTTAGAAACATCTCGTTACTGTTTCGTATGTTATTTCCGTATGTTATTATTATTTCGATCGTCATTCAGTAAACTCGCGAATATCATTTTAACGTTCCAGACTAAGCGAGGAAATTGCGCGGTCGCCGCATACTCGTTTGTCGCAAGATTCTTCCTATCATTCGTTCGTATCACTCCACGTGAATCTGTGTCGACGATGAAAGTAATAAACGATACAGTAATGGTATTGAAATAGTTGGACAAATTTCGCAGGCGTGTTCAATCGGTTTCGAGTCTGTGCATTATCGTCTCGTCTTGCCTGTGCATCCATTTTTGATCGATCAAACTCACAGAGAGAGCGGCGATAGAAACGACAGTCGTGGAAGTTAAAATGATAATCCGCTTCAGATTTGTCTGGAAGTCATTATATCCACTGTGTAGCCCTGTTTTATGTAATTGCATAGTGTTTTTACTCTCTTCCCAGCAACAGGAGCAGGACCCCACCAATCTGTACATCGCCAATCTGCCGCTGAACTTCAAAGAGAACGACGTCGAGGCATTACTCGCTCAATACGGACAAGTTATCTCTACCCGTATCCTGCGCGACACTTCTGGCCAGAGCAAAGGAGTTGGATTCGCAAGGTTCGCAAAATCTATGATAGTATTGTCACTGGTTTCCTGACGGCTGTATTTACTTGGTGCGAGATTCGTTTTATCGGTAGAGAATAAAAATAATTAGCGCATCATATATATTGTTGCAGGTTTATTTAACATTACGGTGTGATTTAAAAACGTCGGTTATAATACAATGCGGATTACGTTTACGAATGTACGGTTATATTTCGGGTAAATTTTTATTTTATATACATAATACGATCTTCGTAATAAAATTAAAGAGTTTTGAATCGGCAAATACGAATTTATGTAACTTTCCGATAAGTAATCATTGAATTAAAAAAAAAACCATTTTAAACTTCAGGAACTCTTCCTCGTTCAGACTCTTTTGTCGAGACATGAATTTTTAATTATATTGCTATCGCATCTCTTGATTTGAAATTGTAATACATTAGAATACACGAGTAATCTAGTGTTTTTGCGACTGCATTACAGAATGGAATCAAAGGAGAAGTGTGAACAAATCATCCAAATGTTTAATGGAAAAGTCCTAACAGGCGCAAAGGATTCATTATTAGTTAAGTTTGCTGATGGTGGAAACAAAAAGAAATCGTTGTTTAAAAGTACAATATGGAGAGAAACCGGAGAGGTACGTGCTTTTCAAAAACAAATCTCAAAAGGTTTAATAAGCGAATCTTTTTGCGATTGAGGTAGTGCCAATGCAAATTATTTTTATGTTTCTTTCCAGAATATGACATTGAACTACGACACGAGCGGCGTTGGTCAGAATGGCGTTGCTACGACTCATATGCTTCCAGCGACGGCTTTGACACAGTACAGTCGTCACTACAGTCAGGCATTGCCTGGTTACAGTGTGCCAGGCACTCCCTGGGTGGCTCCTTACCTCGTGCACCCTTCCCCGCCACATATGCAACAGGTTGACGTGAGTTTTTATACACTTTTCGTTCATTTTGTTTTATTGCTTTGCATATATGGCAGAAGAATGCCTTTATATCGAGTTTCGAATTCGAGAACTTAGTGTAATTTCGCATACATATGTGATTGGACACGATAAATTTTGTAGATTTAACATTCAAATTCGAATATAAGACATTCGATCCAAACTAACGCGTTGTCTCCTTTAAAATAGAATTCAATGGCATTCATTTTAGTGTTGTTTCAACTGTTGGAAACTTAATCTTAAAACTTAGTTTTAGTTGAAAACTTAGTCTTTTAAATTGAAATATCAATATGTCTACGAAATTATTTAATTATCAACCACGTTTTTGGATACGCATTTTTTCCACGTTTAATTTGTGTCTTAGCTTTGTTATGAATTTTTCTATTTTTTCTGATTTTTTTCATCATTTGCTGATTATCGCTTCTGCTTCATCATTGGACTGTCGATCTTCATTACAGATGATACCGTCGGCTGATCCTAGTAATCCGCAGTACAGTATGATTCCTCAGCTTACCACGCAAATGTCTACCTTGCATCTCGGCACTGGTTCCGTAAGTTTTCTCTCGATTTTTTTAACAGCTATCCAAACATAAATCTCCAAGAAAGACGTCTCAAAGATTGAAGTCTAAACTATTTTTCAACGATATAGAAAGATTTAAATCTAAAAATCTCGACGATCCAGAATGCCTTAAATATTTAGATTGAATGTGTTAAAAATGCACAAAGTTGATAGAGACATTAGAGTTAAGCTAGGTCTTTACGACGTTTCTCGGACATTTGTGTTGTTGGGATGGATTAATTCGAGTCAATTGTGACAAATGACAACTGATCGTTTTTTCGTTTCTTTTTTTCAGTACATAGCGAGCCCGCATCCCTATCCTTACACTACTTATCCCGCCCCTAGCATTATTCACACCATGCCACTGGGCGAGTCGGAGCAAACGAGTAACGCAGCATCCCCCGACGATTCCTACCAGCAGTACCAGGCTCAACAGCCTAAGTAGGCCACGGTTTATAATAGGTCAGGATTCTTTCTTCCTTTTACGCCATACGATGCAATACTGTACCGAAATACAAATCCCTTAGCTCGTAATAAGACGACAAACAAACAATAAAGGGATCTTTCGGTTGCAGATGTACGATCGCGCTAAGGGTTACATGAATTAGGAAAGGATTACTGATTGACATATGAAGATATGCGTAGAATGAAGAAGAGCAACAGATACGAGAGCGGATTACACTAAGAATAGATTTGAAAAAAAAAAAAACTACATTACGTAACGAATAAGATTCTTCCTCACGATAAATTGACTTGCCAGCGTTTTTATACGTTTTATCCAACAGTAAATAGAGGAAAGTAGATGATATTTTGCAACGAGTAGGCAGAGTGAATGTTGAGAGAATGCGTAAGAGTGAGAGAGAACGAACGAGCGAGCGAGAGGGAGTGAGAGAGAGAGAAAGAGAGAATATAATTGAAGGAAGTACAGGAAGACGAGTACGAGAGCGATCACGTGTCATCCGCGTGGAATGGCACGTGCTTCCATACTAGTATGGCTCCGTTAAAGCTACGTGATGTACAACACGTACACTTTCATGTACACACATACATACACTAAGAGAAAGAGAGACATCATACACGACAGTAACTAAAAAAACCAAGTTATTTACGAAGAACAGTTTAGTGTCAAGCTAATAGGCTTCCATGATGTAACTTTAGGTATTATGTTTACTACGGACAGATGACAGAAGCTAATCGAAGCTAATCTCGAGAGCTCGACAGTATGGATAAGTATTTTAATGAGTGAGTGAAAGAGGAAGAATGTGTGTGTGAATGTGTTAACTATAAAGAACGAGAAAAGGAGAAGAAAAAGTAATACTGCTCAGAAATATACAAAGGAGAATTCTTCCCGAGAAAATAATAGTAAATAATAATAATATACAGCAAGAATGAGAAAAAGAGAGAGAGAGAGAGAGAGAGAAAGAGAGAGAATGTGTGTGAAAGAGAAGAGAGGATGCACTACTTCCAGGACGATGTAATGTTAGGCCTGTTCGTCGTTTTAGCTGAACTTGTTGCACAGTTCAGTTAAAACGAACAGGCCTTTTGAGAAGAAATTCAAAGATTCATAATTACGACTAAAAGGAGGAGGTGTTTGTTCGCGAAACTCGCGAAGATACTTGTCTGCGGTTGAGAGTACGTGCACGTGAACACAATTCATCTTCCGCGATAGCGCACTTCACCTCATCCGTTCTCTCGCGTACAGGTTACATAAAATACACAAAACAGATATTTACCACCGCACCCTCATCAAAGTTCACGTATCTTTTCGAGTTCTTTTTTCATTTTCTGCTTTTACATTCAGAAACATTCCACACCGAGTATATGCGCGCATCGCTACGCGGAGGTATTTTTTAATCGGGAATACATCAATTTTTCTAGCGGCACCACGCATCTCTATCGCGTTGCGTTTCCTTGTTTTTTTTTACGACAATGAGCTTTTATTATAGATTAAATTTCAGAGACAAACTAGGAGAAGATAAATACGACGGTAAAATTTGTTTCTAAAACGGGCAAGGGGAGGAATGCAATTTTCAGGATCTACGTACAATTATTGTACGAAAGACGGAAAAAAGATGGAACAGTACTTTTTAGAGTGTTATATTTATGATGATTGCGAGTTAAATACGGATCGATATCAATTTTTAATTGTACAGTGAATACAAATATTTTTTTTAGAATTGTGCCTTTTCACACAGATCCGTTAAATGAAAGAAAGGGAGCGAGAAAGAAAGAGAGAGAAAGAGAAAGATATATATATGCAGGAGAAAATTGTTATAATATATTTTTACGCATCGTTAAATTCAGATGTGGAGTCAAATCTTAATTTTCTAATTAATATATCTGTAATTGTTTTTGTGTTAAATATCTCTATACATTTGTTTTCGTTGTCAATTTGATAGATTTTGTACGCGTGATTACATGCATTATCGAATTGGAATTGTCGGACTGTATGAGAGAAAATGAAATAGACATCCACACACAGCACAGAGACAGTCCGTAATAATAAAAAGAAAAAAAGAAAAAATCTAGGAAAATCAAATCGCGACAAGTCGAGAAACGGAACGCGAGATAATGAGAGAGCGAGAGAGAGAAAGAGAGAGAGAGAGAGAGTGAGTGAGTGAGTGATTGAAAATGTGTCTGAAAGAGAGATTAAAAAAAAAAATGAAGAAAAGTAGGTTTGTTACATGATGAGAAACTAGAATGTAAATTAATTTATTTTATCGAAGGAACGCGTTATATATATACTGTCGAGAAAGAATAAACGAAAGGTAAAAACGCAAAGATGCATCGATCTACACCGTACACATGTATACGTATACACGCCTATACAGATACACGCGCGTACAGACAGATCGAGGGGAGAGTAATCGAGACGACACTCTGTCATCTTTCGAGATGTCGAAATTGATGGCTGTAAATAAAATAAGTATTCGTCTGAATGATCAAACGGAAAATTCGATCGAGGAAGATTGAACTTCCTGAGCGTCTTTGCGACCGCGCGGATAATTGTATTTACCGAGATGAGTATATTTTCTCAAGAATTTGGAAATTTGCAAAAGTAAACGCTTATATTACTTGAATTCATTAAAATACCTTCGTGTTGAGCCCCGTTTGAGTCTTGATTATTCTTCACGTTATAACCTGCGCCCAATGAGATCTCCATCTCTTCCCCTTCTTCTGGATGTCTTCTCCCATATCTACCACCATCACCATTACTATCATCATCATCATCATCATTGCCATTATCGTCATTATTCGTACATCCGGCGAAGTTTCGCGTTGTCCGACTTAGGATTGATAGTTGAGAATCGAGTGAAGAAGCGATAGAGAGGGAGAGAGTGTAAGGAAGCTTTTTACCAAAAATACGCGAGAATTGCAGACTACTCGCGCGACATACGAGAAACTGATAAAGGTGAAGAAGGCGAGCGGGTAATTAGATGGAGTTTTAGCGAAGAGAGAGAGAGAGATGAGTCGCGTAGTTATTATTATAATATTACAATAATGATGCTGTATTATTATAATTAACGATTTACTATTATTGACGTCATCTAAACGTATGAAAGATTTTTACACTGTTGAGACTTGAAGTAAATAATATATTTAGTTTATTTTGGTACATCACGATGACGAGAGAGTGAGAGTGAGAAATAGAGAGAACGAGAGAGATAAATTGACGAAAAAAAAGCCGAAGGCGAGGAAGTAGAAAGGCGGAATACGCTATTTTTTAAGAGACAGACTTTATTACTCGATTTGAGTCCACGCATTAAAGTAAAAAGTAAAAAAAAAAGAATGCGGAGGGTAAGTGTGAAAGGGAGAGTGACTGAGTGCGAAAGAGATTGTGTACGAAAGAGAGCGAGAGAGAGAAAAGTGAGTGAAAGATGGAAAGTGCTGAGAGGAAAGTGCGAAAAAGAGAGAGAGAGAGAGGAGCACTTATTAGCGAGTGCATATTGTGTATTTGTTACACAAGGCGAGATTGTCACCACTTGACTGACAAAAAAATCCACATGTGATTTTAATAGTAAATTTTGAGAATTTTACTAAATAGAGACTTGTATACACTAAAAAAAAAGTAACTAAAGTAATTATCGTGACTGACCAAACGAAGAAAAGGAAAGAGGGAGAAAAGCGAGTATAACAGAGCAGCAGTAATAGTTGCGCCGATTGGTTCAGGGGATGAAGAAGGGAAAGAAGGGGATGAGAACGGCGGACACAATCTGTTGCGTGTCTAGCATCTCCGGATGCGGGCAAAGAGATTCCACGAGAGTAAATCCGGAAAAAAAGGGTAGCCGGAACAGAAAGAGAGATAGAATGAAAAGGAGAGAAAGAGCGATCGCGAGCGAGAGTATAGTTATTATGTACAGAGAACGCGCAGAGACGCGTCTTTTTTTTCTTGCGGCGACATGTTTTTCGCATAGGTAGAGTTGAACTTGATGATTAAAAAAAAAAAACCGTAGACTAAGCGACGAGTGAGCGAGCACTCGCTCGGATTAGGAGATAATAGGAAAGGGGCGATCTTTTATCGGATTAAGAAGCGGCTAAGTTTATAAATAGACGTAGATAGGTAGAACAATAGTTTAGTTACATAGTAGTTAGGATACGAATATGCCTCTCATCCTCCGTGTCCCCTATCCTCCCTCTGTGTGTTGTCGCGGGCACGGGGGGCACGGGCGTGGGGCACCGTTCAGCCTATGCACCTCGCACCCGTCAAGACTGACTGGCTATTCATATATTGATAAATATATATACATGTATATATATGTATATATATGTATATACATATATATATATGTATATATACATATATATGAACTATTTGTATAATTGTATAAATAGTAAGGAACTATTTGCTTGCTGCGCACCGCGGGTCGGGTGCGTGGGCTGGCCGGATGTGGGCTCTTGCACTCGATAGGGTGCGGGGACTCGTGGGATTTCCGCGGCAGGAGTTGCCCCCCCATCCGAGGACCGGAAGCGCACGGAAACGATTCCTCCCGACTCTAGTCGCTCGGAGGGGTGCCCCCACGTTGGATCACGTGGACGTCAGACGCGAAAAATCATACGAATTTTTTTTCCTATGCGATTCTTTGCCTCTAACGCGAACCCTCCCCCTCGCCGCGGAAGCTCTCGGGCTTCCGCAGCCCGACCGCCAACAAGTTTCGGGCAGGAAAACGGTTCTTGCCGTTGCGGACAATGCTGCTTTCCGTAAAGCTTTTCTCTAGAGTTTTTCGCGTAGACACTCTTTAGATTAGGCGTACCATAGTTGATAGGCTGATTGTAGAAAAGGAGACGAGAGGGAGCGAGAAACTGATTGAGCGAGAAGCGAGACGAAAAAATATAGGATGTTTTTAAGAGTAAAATAACATTAGTCGAAATCGGCTTAAGAGAGTGAAAGGAAATACGTGTACTTGCGCGTGTGTGCGTGTGAGATAGAAAGAAAGAGAGAGTGAATTAGCGATAAAGCGAGGTCCGAAGTGAGACTAGATCATCGTCTTGTACTTCGGCTTGTACAGTCCTTAGCTTTCCAAGTTTTTAAGTCATTGTTTTACACGTGTTTGTTAAGCGACTTAGCTGTAATTATTCGAGACATCTTGGGTTTCTTCCTCCACACATCCTTCTCTTCCTCCCCGATGTATCTCCGTGCCTCCCCCCCCCCCCCCCCCCCTCCTTTCTTTTTTGCATTTGTACTCCGCTCGTCCTTCGTGTTCGACGGCGAACGAACCGACGAAGGGAGCGGAATTTGTAATGTAATTCTACGACGGAAGACGAGAGACACGTACCCCGGGCGTACCGCTTGTCTTTTCAAGATCACGAGAGAGATAGAGAAAAGAACAGACGGTAAAAGGGGGAACGATGTCGTCGGACGTTGAGGTCTCTTTTTAAATCCGCGCGCGAGGATCAATTTGTAGAATTTCGAGAGTACTTTTAAGGCAAGAGGCGAAAAGAAAGCGTTTAGCATGTAATGTGAAGAAAAAAAAATCTTTAGACGTTAAGGCAAGTTGTGTCATAGTTAGTTAAGAGATCTAGGGAGACTCTTAGGAAGTCGAATAGGTGCTGTAATAAAACAAAGTTTAACACAAGAAACAAGTCAGAATTAGATTTTTCATGAATAAAGTAAATTAAAAAATTAAAAAAAAAAAAAAAAGAAAAAAACCCGAGGATAAACGTAAAGAAAAAAAAAAGAACGCAACACACGCGACGTCGACGACACAAGGGGCATAAGCCACTAAAAAGTGCCCTTAGTTTATTTTGGATCGTTTAAAAAAACGCTAGTCTTTGTGTGTGAGAGAGAGCGAGAGAGAACGAGAGAAAGATAGTAATATGGGGATTTTTTTAGATAGGGTCTTCGGAGAATAAACAAGCAAACAAATGAAAAAAAAAAGAAAAAAAAGGGAAAAAGGATTTAAAAAACAATCGTGCGACGAGAGAAAGAGAGAGAGAGAGAGAGAGAGAGGGGCCGACGAGAGTGTACGAACGAGAGGAAGAGAGTGTGCGCATGTGTGTACGTAGGTGTGTGCGTAACTTCGAAGAAGAAAAGAAGATAACGCGTACTGTCGAAGAACCGTCATCTGCCTATTTTACACACAGCACACGCTTATAAGGAACACATACATACATACACACACACACACATACACACCGCCACACACTTGTACAGAAAGAAAAAGAGGGAAAAAATGTGCGTGCGCTATTGCGGAGAGGATGCACGTTCTCCGCTGCTCCTGTATTATTACCGCGTAACACCCTATGTGTGTCTCTACTATAGGGGCGTGCACTTGAATCGGTGGTCTTTTTAGAGTTACTTACGAGTAATGAAGAAACGGTTTGGTAAATAATAAAATAATTCGCGATGCGCGGGAAAAGCGAATTCCCGGATTCGTCACGATTATCATCCCTTATTTTTGATCAATAAACGATCTGTTTTTGGGGATTTATGCCGACCGACACGACTCTTACTTCACCCATCTGGCACGGTTCTCCTTGAAGAAAGAACTTCAGGAAGAGAGGAAAGGAGAGAGCGGCTGCTTATCCAGGAACAAAAAAAGCAACCGATTTTTTTTAACAGATCCTTTATTAATATTTTTGCTTTTATTCCTTTTCATTATTACAAGAGATAAATTGTTGTTATTTGTACCATCGATCAAGCCTTTATATTCTTCACGTACGATATTATCATGTGATTGAATATATAGTCGATTTCTCAATGGATTCGTAACTACACGCAAGTTTCGTTTTCAAAGATCGATATAAAAAGCACACTCAACGCAAAGAAAAAATTTCTCAGACGCAAAAGATAAAAATATTACATGGTCATTACAAGAAGAGATTGGAACATCCCTTTTGCCTAATAATAATCTCTTATTATTATTAATTTTCTAAATTTAAAAAATTATTAACTAATGTGACAAGTTCAAGCACATAATCTTATGAAACAGGAGTTCCGATCGTTTCGATATCGATTATGGACAATGTTTTATAACAATTTCTATCGCACCTTGTTTAGTGCGAATTAGTGCTCTACGTAGTTGGATTTGAATATCCTTAGTGTGTTATCCGCACCACCAGACATTATCAGTTTAGGATTCGACCAGTCGCAGCTGAGGACCTTGTCATCGTGTCCCAGGAGATCGAACAGCGGTGCCTTGGGGCTGAAAAGGCACAACAAAAGTTAATTTCGCATAAATCTCGGATAATACTATTATTTCTCCAATTTTCAATTTAATTTCTGATTTAATTCTCCGATTGCAATAAATATCTGAATCTGATCGTAATTTTAATTTGAAGATAATTTTTTCGAGTAATCTATAATTTAACATTAAGATAGCAGTTCTAGCTCTCTAGAACAATTCTAAAAATTAAATCGATCGTGCGCAGCCGAACGAAATTATACAAAAGCCTCGTGTTCTTTTAACGAAGCATTTGAGAACAGTTTTCCAGATAAATATTTTAATCTGTGAACAACCTTCTGGTGTCCCAGAGCTTGACGATATTATCATATGCTCCCGAGATGAAGAGATGTTCGTCCACAGTCGACCAGCGTACTGTCGACACCCACTGCGTGTGAGAGGTGAACCTAGCTTTCACAATTGCACCTTCTGAAATATATAGTAGCAAATTAATGAAGTACTCTCTTAGTGTACACCAAATTAGTAAGAAGTTAGATAAATTGGAAATTCGAAGACGAGATAAATTTTCATAATGTAAAATTTAATATTCACTTTTATCAATAAAATTCGTAACCCTGATTTTGTCAAGGAAGATTGAAAAATTAGAAAAACATCGACAAGAGACTTCAAGCACCTGTAGATCTCGGATCATACAGCCTCACATGTTGATCGGCCGATCCCGCTATCACAACACGTGACAGTGGCGAATAGTCGATGTCGAAGAAGCACTTGTCACCGTGAATTTCCTGCTTGATGCCGTTTAATTCGGTATCCCAAGTCTTTATGGTATGATCCCACGAGCCTGTGATGATCTCCGTTTTGTCGGACCACACGATCCCGCTGATCGCCTGCTTGTGTCCCTTCATCGCACATTTTGGCGTCTGCGTGTAAAATAAATGCAACGATCAGTATAAATGATCTCTTCCTCGTAATATTTTAAACATTAAACTGATGTTCGTCAATAATCTGCATACCTTCGTTTTACTCGCGTATTCCGATCTTGCCCTTTTCGACGCGGATTCTCCAGTATCGTCTTCTTCTTGCGCAGCTTAAGAAAGAAAGAGAGATGTTTGTCTGAATAATTAACGTTTCACTATTGCCAAATTATATTCAGGTTGTTTTGTAATTTCTAATTTTCTCTCTTCGCATTAAAATCATATTTTTAAAATAAGAAAATAATATATTACAATTTGTGAAAAACATTGCATAATTTTAATTTTTCAATAATATGCATTGAGATCTGAGAAAATAAGATGTTCAATTTCTTATGCTACCATACTTACATGTTGACCATATGTATAACATATTATCCCAGGCGCCAGTTGCCATTAATGTTTTATCATAATTAACGCTGACCGCTTCGATGCTTCTTCTGTGTCCCTTGCAGACATGCACGCATTCCACAGAATTCCTCGTTATATCCCAACTCCATATCATACACGTCTGATCCATTGATGCGCTATATATTTGTGTAAATGTAAAATCATTGTTAAACACTTGTCACTGCGATATGCTTGAAGGTTCACCCATGTATCTCAAAAATGTTTTTCGCATATTGGTTTGATTAAACCTATACTTGACTACATAGAAGCAGGAAATTCATAGATATATCAATGGCACAAAATTGACTCTATTTTCTATCAAATTACCTAACGAAGGAAGCATTATCGTCATTGAGAGATATCCAGGCCACTGCTCTGACGGGAGATATATGTCCAGGAATTACAAGTTGATGTTTGCCCTTCAATGTCCAAATATGTAGCATATTATCGTAAGAACCAGTTAGGATCCTAAACAGAATCATTCCAGGTATCATTACTCCAGTTACCCTTCAGATGCCAAGCATATTGTAAAAATTGGTCTGTTGGTTTAATTGGCTCATGGTTAGGAACCAACCATTTTCCACAAACAGCAACAGCCGATACCCAATCGTCGTGCACCAGACAATCCTTTGGCTCTGGTGGAGGATGCTTCTCCACATACTCAACATCTACCACCTCTTCCGTAGAAACTCCTCTGTCAGCGATGTGTTCTGTCAAAGAGCTACGTAGAAACTGTGAGCAAACCAGGAAATCAAACTCCACTTGGTCCTGGACATCATTCGACTCTGCGAACAATCAATTTGGTCTTCAACGTGATCAGGACGTTCTTTTTTCATGATCAATCTTTCCTCACCTCTCAGAAGTTCGTTTATCAAACTGTTTAATTCGTCGGTGACTATCGAGCTATGAACCGCTAAGGGATAATCCGGTACTGCATATCTAGAATCGTTGAAATTAAAATATAAACTCCGTTTAAAGCCGACCGCGATGGAAAGAAAGAATTAAAATAATTTCTTACCTCTGCTGCTTGGTTACAAAACGTATCTGTATCTGGGCTTCGTCTTTATTCGTGGCCATCACAGATTTATCTTTCGATTTCATTTTAGGACGATTTTTCTTAATGGATTCAATTTCCATCGCAATCGTGTCGAATTTTCTGATTTTCCAAATTAATAGATTCCTAACCTCACTTCACCGCCACGAATTTCAAACGAGGCGTGCACCACGTGCGTCAACGAGATGTGCACTCGCATTTGCTTCGCGTTTTCGCCACTCGTCAGCGTTCGCGAACACGAACGCTTCTTTTCGATGTATTTCGGAATGCAGCGAAAACGTATACCATCATCACGACAGAGATGTCTCCACAATGTTCTTTATCCGCCGGTTGTTGTGCCGAATAATCGCCGATATTGCCGACCGAACGGGTTGAACGGCGTAGCGTTTGGTCGATATCCCTGCCCAAGCCCCCAAAGTGCTCATCGTCGCGTAAACCCCGTGAAAAACACGGTGACGATGACGGAGCGGGTGGTCACCAGCACCGCGGCGTTCCACTTCTGAAGCGGGAAGTGATCGTTCAGTGCTCGTGCTCGAGACGCCGGTCTCTGGACTCGTCGAAGAGGAGGACGAGTGGACGAGTCACTCCAAAGGCGGACCGGAAAGAGTCGCGCGATTCACGTAATTCACGTTTCCCGCGATCGAGGAGGGTGCCGTTGACGAAAGGTCAGCCCCCGGTAGCTCGGCCGCCGTCCGCCGTGGTCTTCTTCGTGCATATGTGTGTGCGCGTGTGATATGCCGGCGCCCCACTCTCTGGTGCAGCACGAAGCACGATACGATTCGTCCCTTAAAACTGACTCCTCGCCTCGCACCCCGGGGGTCCGGTCGTCGTCGTCGTCGTCGCCCGCTACTATGCGTACCACGTATTAACAGCGCATAAACGCCGTCGTCGAGGTAAGCCGGGTCGGGCCGGGCCGTTTCCCCCAATTCCTCCTATATGTACGTATGTATGTGTGAAGCGATTTATTTTTGTGCGCGTTCCGAAGATCGATCAGCGAATGTATTGGCGATGAGTGCTTTTCTCCGCCGGTTTCTCCGCCTCCTTTTCCCTCTGTTGGGAACGGAAGAACGTGTCGCTGGTCGGTGTCGAGGGCGAGTTTCGAGGGTGAGTCGCGTCGTCGCGTCCACCTCCAAACGCCGAAAATAAACCAAGAGCGAAGAAATGCGGGGGTATTTTGCGTTTGGAGTTCCGAATCGTTCGAGCGGAGAAGAAAATTAGCTCTCGCTTCCTGTTTATCTTGCGATACTGATGTAATTAATTATCTACTTTGGATTATCTTACGATCTGAAATAGAAAAGATTTGTGATACGCAGGTGTAATAAATAAAAATGTTCTGTAACTCCGATTCTACAATCGAGACGATAAGTGAGATAGTGCTGTAAGACGAAAAAATCATAATCGTTGGATCTGTCTTTGCGATTCGCGATTCAAGAAATAAATGTGAATAAAAATTGATTCTTTTTTACTTAAAAAATTGTTTGAGCTTTAATTAATTTTAAATGAATAGATACAGTATATCGAATTAACGAACATATAATAACATAAACAAGACATTTTCCTTCTTTTTCTTCTTGTTCTTATGGCTGGTTCGCTTAATGTAATTTATGTAATATAACGCCTGTTCTTTTTACCTAAACTTCTCGTACAGTTCATCTTTTATCTTTTTCTCTCCAACGTGAAAAGAAAAGGAGGAAAGATGAACCGTGCGAGAAATTCAGGTACAAAGAACAGGTCTTATAGTTAAAAGAAACAGATTTTTATATATGAATATCTTGACTTTTGTTTACCTTTCTCTAAAGCATTATATATTAATAAATATAATATATTTGATGTAGTATATAATATATACATATATACTTCGTACATTTTAAAAGCAACTAAACATGTAGATTTAATCATGTCTTAGGTATTCATTGACTATAGATAACATAGCTGGAAAAAGAATGACCCATCTTACAATCAGCCTTGAACACGTATGATTTAGCGTAATTTATATACACAACGCAGCGTGCAACATTAGTCAATGACACGAATACGAAATAGTACATTAGTACATTGTGCGTCATGGGGGAATGAGCATTTACGAGTCAGGGATATCGGTTTTTCAATTCGGCAAGGTCTCAGGCAGAAAACTTGGTTTTTTTATTTAGTTGCAAGAGAAATAATAGAAGGACAACCGATTGATCATTGAATGTATTTTACAAAAAGAAGCATGCAAAAGATATCAACTTTATTTCCTATTTCTATTACATAGGAGATTATCGATAAATAAATAAATAAAGTTTATATTAGCTATTATATTAGAAAAGAGAAAAAAACAGGGAATTTCATGGATTGTGTCAGTGTTTAATATTAATTATGACTGAGTAGTTTTTGCTATGCCAGAAAAAAGTTTACCAATAACCAACGATGACTATTTACATAAATATAAATTACTTCAAAGTTGTATAATATTGCTTTTGACTTTATTCGACTTAATATATCTTTTGCATTGATATTTTCTATGCTAATGCAATCTTTAGACACTTATGTTTTTGTCCTGTGCTGGTTATAGAATGTACGCGCTGCAAATGCAAACCGCCTGCCAGGGCGAGGGCACTCGTGAGCCCGATGACCCCAGCACCCTTCATCAGGAACCAGTGCGACCTGCCACCCAAGATTGCAGTTCTTTCGATATTGTCAGAGCTACACAGGTAATCTCAATAGCCGAATTGTGAAGAATCTATTTACATCTTGAATTCATACTTTGAAAAGATGAGGATCCATACATGCTATAACTCGAAAGTTTATAATAAGCTCATAATCATGCAATTTGCATTACTAAAAATATGGATTAAGATGACCAAGTGTATTTGCAGTATGGGGCGTTGGATCGAGTGACACAGTTGGTGGAAGGTGGTGCCGACGTGAACCAGCCGGATTCGGAGACTGTGACATTGTTGCATTGGGCTGCTATAAACAATCGCAAAGATATTGTTAAATATCTTATTGCAAAGGGAGCCGTAGTCGATGCTGTTGGCGGTGAATTAGCTTCTACGCCATTGCATTGGGCTACGAGGTCAGTATTTTAACAAATCGTCAATATTATTCCAATTGAGTGAAATTGTGATTTCAATAAGAATAATTGGAAACTTAAAAAAATAAACAATTTTACGCAACGCATAAAACTTCCTATGATTTTTTTAGCTTTTTAGTCTCCATTTTTTATATGTAAATTTATAAGATAACTTAAAAAAAAAGAACTTAAAAAGAGAATTAGTCTTCAATTGTGTTTCTAGACAGGGCCATCTCTCCACTGTTGTAATACTGATGAGGGCAGGTGCTGATCCAACCTTGAGGGATTCCGAAGGTTTCTCTTGCGTACACCTGGCGGCACAATTTGGCCACACGGCCATAGTGGCTTATTTGGTGGCAAAAGGCGTCAATCCAAATATGCCGGATAGAAGTGCCATGACTCCCCTTATGTGGAGCGCCTATAAAGTCAATAGGTACACAGAGCACCGAATTATTGTTTTACAAACGACTTGTTTTTCCAATAGAATAATGTTATGTTGGTTACTTTAAAAAGTCTTTCTTTTTACAGTCTAGATCCAACACGACTGTTGTTGACTCTAGGTGCGTCGCACTCACTTACCGATAATCTGCACGGTAACACAGCCCTGCATTGGGCTATTATAGCAAAAAACAACACGGCAATTTCCACCTTGGTACAACACGGAGCCTCGTTAGACGTGCCCAATTTTCAAAATGAAACTCCAATGACGTTGTTAGGCCCGCACATCGGCGCCGCGTGGTTAGGGCATAAAATCAGTCACGAAATTAAGGAGAAGCAAGGTCGTACGAGAACATGGTGTAGAGATAAGGTAATGATTGATAATGTGTTATAAGTATATCGTATATGTATCGCATTTCTTCAGAGTTAATATACGCTTTTTAAGAGAGAATTCAGCTCTTCTTGTAACATCATCGTGTATTTTTCTTGCAGAGAATTCGTTGGTATTGCATGGTCAGTACGCCATTTATAGCGTTTTATGTGATCGGTATGGTTCTACAGAGTGGATGGGATTATTTATTAAAACTAGGTGCCTTCATCACCCTTTATGTAGTGGTGTATCTAATGAACCATTTCGTGTTCGATGAACGGCTGTTTCTCATTTTGCCAATGTCGATTTATTTGGCAACCAAGGTAGGTGTAATTCCGAATTGTATTCTAGATAATCAAAAACGTTTACGTACGATTAGTTTCTGATAAGCTGCTAAATGTGATAAGACACTTTGTTGATAAGGTGATAAGCCTAAAAGATAGTGTCACAACGCAATATTAAATAAATATTACAATAACACTATAGATAAAATAAAATTATTAGCAGTGTGCAACGATGATACTTAAAATATTAGTCATAATATTAAGAAATTGAAATTCTTATAAATGCTTACATGCATGATAATACATATAATATGTATCTGAATAAGATTTTAATAAGATAACACGTATGAGAAGTGCAGTAATTGCTTACAAGTTATTAATATTATCGTCCACAAATATATCTTATTTAGACATTTTTTAATGTATTAATGAACAATTGCATCAATATCTCTTTAATTTTTCAGATGTGGATATACGTCACATGGATATTCTGGCTAGGTATCCATGCAGCATGGTATTTATGGTTGTTATTAGTCGGTGGATCCGTTCCTCTCTGGATATGCTTCCTGCAGTCTTGGCGGGGTGATCCCGGAATTATCGTGGCTACTCAGGAGGATAAATTGAATGTACTAATGTTTTGTCATTTTCACTATTGTAAAACTATTTCATGTACACGAATGACAAATGTACACGTAGCTTTATTTGCAGACGATAATTGAATTGGCTGAGTCGGGTGGTTTCGAGCCGCAATGGTTCTGCAGTAGTTGTCTAGTCCGAAGACCCGTGAGATCTAAACATTGTTCCACATGTGATCGTTGCGTAGCGCGATTCGATCATCATTGTCCATGGGTTAATAACTGTATTGGTAAGCGGATACAAATACTTTATTTAGTATCAACATAATTTTTTTTGTTACTGACTGATAATCAGTTTACTATATCTGTTTATTTAGATTTTGATACTAGATTAATATTTTTTCTTATTTATTTTATTCTGTTTATACTCCTTTTGTCTTACTGGAAATTATTAAGTGTTACACATGTTTTATGAAAATTAAGTATAAGACGATTTAAACACAGAATAGTTTTTATTACATCCTACAATTTTCAGGTGCACATAACCACAAGTATTTCCTTGGATTTGTGGCGTCTTTGCTGGGATTGTGTATCGTTATCTTATCTGCCAGTATACAATATTGGCAATTCGAGTGTTGGTCGAACTTAACGAACGGTCATAGCGCGGACAGCTATCTAGTAGCTGCAGCTACCTGCGATGCTTGGGTAATGTGGGTGGCAGCCAACACGTCCCTTCATTCTTTCTGGGTTGGGACTTTGTTGGCGTGTCAATGTTATCAGGTACGGCGGTATTATATAATTGTATTATGTTAATATATTTTATATAAAGAAAAATGGGAAAATTTTTTTTATTTTTGAACATTATATTACTGCGAGTGATTATGATTTTATATTTTTTTTATGTGTTTCCAGATCATGGTCCTGGGAATGACAACGAATGAACGTATGAATGCCGGTCGTTATAAACACTTCAAGCAGGGGAACCCGTTCCATCGCGGTGCCCTGCAGAATGCCGCTGACTTTTGCAACTTCAGCTTTTGCGGAGTGAAGGCGAAACCTAGCTCGGATTGGTTGCACAGTTTCGATCTCAAGCAAAGCATCGAGAAGTTACCTTTGCTCGCGCAGAAAGATAATTTTCAGTATGTTTAAAGTTCTGTAAGCAGCCGTGAGAAGCTAATTGTACACACATACATACACCATATCACTTATGCCTGACGTACTCCTTGGGCCACCAAAGAGTTGCCGCAAACATGTAAGTGACTTTCCAGGACGGCAGTAATTATGCATACACGGGCGATTACGTTCGCATATTCTCTAAGCTCTATTATACAGCAATCGCTGAATAACAATTTTTCGATGTCATATGTTTCGATTTCATATGTCGTAAAAGACTGTTGCATTGCGAATGTGTGCATATCCCACCTATACTCTACTTAAAGATATCTATGAGTGATTAAACGATAAAAATGCACAAATTTTATGATTTAAATTAACCCTTTGTTGCCTAAACATAATAAGCATGAAAGAGTTTCTGTATCATTTAACTTTTATTGTAATATATAAACTATGATTATCGATAAATAGAGAGAGACATATGAAAAGAATTGCAGATTAGAAAACTAATTTGTAATTGGGCAGCATAGGGTTACTAATTTCTTCAATCAATCATTTCAATTATGCATCATCCTATTTGTATCTCTGATATCGAGATTTCTTTTTACCAAACTATAAAATAATTACTCTTTATATTAAACACATATTGTAAATATTTATCTTGAATCGTATTCATTTACTGACATTTATTGCTCATTCCCGATTTCATCTAATTTTAATATTGCGATTCATAAATAGCAACTAATGATTCAACTTGCTTTTTCAAGAAGTAAACGCACTTAGAATTTGAAAGTATATATATATATATATATATATATATATATATATATATATATATATATATATACACTATTCAGTGATTATAAATTTATAAATCTGATACTTCTAATTGTACTAGTAACTTAAGCTACAAGATCACTGTCGTTACAATTATTTTCTTATCGATAAAATAATTGGAAGTCTATATATTTCTCATTAATGCAACTATTTGAAGAATATTTATATGCATTAATTCTCGACAAATTCTACAATTCATAATTGAAAAAATAAATATACAAACGTGTAAAATTCATTGATAGACAAGAAATAACGAAACATGCAAATATGATGCAATGTTTAAAAATTCGTGTAAGGCGTAAAAGTAAAATAAATAATAAAGATGTGGGGCCTATGACATCGCTATAAATGTTATAAACTATGCAAATTAGAACGCATAAGAAAATCAAATGCTGTGCGATAGAATTATAGCCAAAAGAGAACTATATAACAGCTATTTATACTGTTTACTCTATATTGTTCGAATTTGTAAGAGAGTCTACCTGACTTAAGTGCCATGTTATGCTTCTTGAAATGCATTTATGTACTCGACATCACATACTTCTGTTGAGATCAACTATTATTCGTATTGGTTACTGTTGCGACTAAAATGTAATATTTATAATAATTACGATATTTGCGAGATTACAAATCAATATTACAAATTATTCGTAATATTTATTTAAGGACTGTGTTATAGCGTATATGAAGCATATCTTGTCAAAAGCGTTTAAGTCACAAAGTCGCTTTTTATATGTTAAACAAAGAGTAAGTCTAGAGTATCGTTACGCTACAAAGAAATTTATTTAACTTGACTAAATACGACAGAGAACGATCTGTGTATTGTAACTTAGTATTTAACTCCAAACTGATAATTCTTTCAAATTATATGTACAAATTATTGCAGAAAAAAAATGAAAATTATTGCTTGTACATTCCAATTAAAGCGGTAGCATTTTATAACGAGGATGTAGAAAATGTCAATTTATAGAATATCTCATTAAATCTTTTGATTCCGAATAAGTTGATTGATGAAGAAATATACTATATAAGTATAATTTTTTAAATGCACGCATAAAAATTAAAATTGTGTAAGTATAACGTAAAATGGTTTTCTCTAAGGCTCGAAAAGTGCATTTTACGTTTTATTTAATGTAAAGTTTTTCTGTTTTTAAAAGGAAAATAATTTTAATTTGATAATTCTTAATTTCGCTAAGTGTTGTAATGTAAAAGCGAATCGATCAAAGGTTGGATATTTGCACAGTACAGCTTTGATTTATGATTAATATATATTAAGTACAAATATATATTTAATATCAGAACTAATCTAAATACGCATTCATGCATGAGATGCATGGTGCGTTTAAATTTTAAATGCTAGTTCTATTAATGAAATTTCTATTCCCTTCAATTATAGGAAATTCAATGATTGTTTATTTGTATGTAAATGTTGTATATTTGATTTGATGCGTCTATAAATAAGTATTTCAATTTTATTTTAGTATCGAATTTAACGTAAGGACTTTTTATGATTCAAGTAAATACGTCTTCGAGATCATTGATACACATTTAACTCTAGATTCGATTTACCGGTTGTATTAGTTCATACATATTTTCATGCCCGACGACTTCTTGTACAGAACGATAAGAAACATTCGTGTACAAAATGTTGAGAAACATACAGATAGTTTTAATATGGATATACTTCACATAGCAACCACACGATTTCTGCAAACCGAGTATTCCATGTCAATGTTGTTAGCAAAAGATACGTGTATAAATATTATAAATATAGCAATATATATAGAAGATACCAACTGATTGTACTATAATATCATTTGTCGGACAATTATATTTGTCAAAAGGATTACTTTGCGTCGGACGGCTTTATTCGATTGTTGCATTAATTACTTTTATTTCTCAGTCTAGTCCAAATGAGATTAGTAGCAAAACAATAGTATTGATATGTTTTGTTATGTGTTGTGATTACTTCCTATATGGAAGATCTAACCGTCGAAGTAAGCTGTACTAATCTTAACTTCTTCTAATGTATTTGTAATATTTGGAGATTTAGGTCGAAATCGATATAATTTTGCCGAATTTACAGATGGATAGAGAGAAACGAACGATATGAGCGCATAATGATTTTCGCTTAATTATACCGATTTCCATCCTCGCAAATCATGAGTGTCAATGCGTCGTTAAACAAGCGAAATAATATGATACAAAAGTAATAACACGTTTTTACAGCCGGGAAACATATATGTATATGTCATAACCATGGATGTTATTAACACACGCACGTTTCTTACATTGCTACATTTTCTTAAGCTCCATAAAGATAATTTTAAGATTTTAAGATACGAAATATATTTAATAAAAAAAAAAGAAAAAAAACGGATTTACAGATATAAAGTTGTAATTCACGATGCGACACCTTTATCATTACTGTGATTTGCGAGGTAATACGAAAAACATATGTAATCTGCATTGAATGTTCGAATTGCTGTTAAATTTTTGACGAATTATAACATAATATATACACGATGAGATGGTGCGTTATTTACTTTTTAAGCGATAATCATCCTATTCTGCTTCCAGCTCTGTTCGATGTAAATAAAAGTCTAAATGTGTCTAAATACTTACCTCACTTGAGAGAAACTTTAAAACGAAGATATATGTATGTACGCGTGTGTCATGTTTTTCCCGAAAAGCTAAATTAAATATGCTCTATATGTTCCTTTTTTTATTTTCTCCCGTAACACATTACTCCCATAACACGTTACGACAGATAAACCTGAATTAATATGCCTGCTTAATTGTAAATAATTCTCAGAATAACGCTCTGCAATCGACTTTCATTCGCGATAACAAAATCGTTTTCTATAATTTATCGCGAATATTTTATTGGACTCTTTTTGTATCTATCATCATGACTGTCGTGCGTCTGTGATATTTAAATTCGAATTCCTATACCAAGATCATAACTGATATGACTTGAATACGCAACGTATGTACGATTGCAGGTCGCTTTTGTTATCGCCTTTGTTCCGAGTTCTGAGTTCCGAGTTTGTGTTGCAGTTTGGTTTGCGTTATTCGATGTTGATGTTACTTTAATTTTTCATATATTTGACGTGAGGAAATGCGTTTAACATGGTTACCGGAGAGGATTGTTCTTGCGCCGACACGACGGAACCTTCCAATTTAACGTCCTTGCGCTCGGATGACGCTACCTCAGCCATAAATTCTGATGTAAATGCGGTCTGCACCGAGACGGTCGATAAGAGAAACGACGCCGTTGAGAAACCCAAAGGCATATTTTCTGCATTTTTTTTAAGCGTTCTGTGAAAGCAAACTATATATGTACAAAGCGTCCGAAAATCACGCCAAATATTCTTTTGACAGCAAATTTTTTAGCAAAACTGTCAATTTTTTTTTTTCGAAAAAATATCTGCATGGATGGAGGTTTATGATTTAGTCCCTTGTTTTACCTTACACTAGGTCTATCCTATTTACTTTCATTTATCGTTGAACAATCATTCTATTTGCGTCTTGCACGCAGAAACGGACTGCAAGTGTTCCGATGCATCACTGGTCGCAACTTATTGCGTAGCCGCGGCAGCCGATATCCCGTCTACGGTCCCAGGAAGATTGGATCGCCAGTCGCAGCGGAAGAAGTCGAAGAGTCAGCCACCTGCGACGCAACTTAAATCGAGTTTCCCGTGCCATTGTCATAGTCACAAAATGTAACGCTGTTGCGCTTGTCGTTATCTCGTTAGCTCATTTATTTCTCAAAGCAGATTTATCGTTCCAGCAACGGCTACGTTCTGCCTGTGAAACTCAAGGAAGGTACCTAGAGACGCCATCGAGACGCGCACCGAAGGTACACAGTGTAACGGTGATCGTATTTTTCAGATAAACCGCAATCGCGTCCGTTCTGGAGCCGCTGGAAACGGCCGAGAAACGGCAAGAGGGACAAGATGTATGAGATAAAGCTGAAACAAGTTCAGTGTCCTCACTACGCCAAGCCGCGTCTAAACGGCACGCCTAAACAACACCTCGACGCATTGCAACCGCCGCACGAATTTCAACCCTTCGTTTCTCGCGAGGAACTGTCGGAAGGGATACCGAGTAAAAACGCCAAGGACGAGACCGGCAAACCGAAACCACTTAAATATCCAACGAAAACGAAACTCAAGAAGGAGGAAATAGCGGAGAAGATCGAGATCTACTATTTTGACCATGGAAGCTCCGCGTGGGTATCAATCGACGCTCGACGAGAATATTTCTCGAATATAAAGAATGTTCCCCAATTTTGCTTCACGTGCTCTACTGCAGCAAACTCTCTTCAATTTTTAGAATAATTTTTTTTCTAAATTAATTATAATCAAAAGATCAACGAAACAGTAATTAATTACTCGGATATAATACTTCTCGCAGATATTATCGAACAACTGATTGCCATCCTGTACTAATTACGGACAAGTGCGCCGAAAAGACCGATCAGGCAGCGACCCGCTTTTGGGCGGAGATCTTCGGCACGATTCACATCGGTATCGCCTTCGTCACGGCCTTTATTCTGCAGCTCCTACGCTTTGTGCTCTACAGCGTAATCCGGCCGTTGACAGTGGGGATACTTCAATTGATAGCGGATTATTTTGTGAAACCACTGCTGTCTATTTTGTTTAACGCCCTCGTGCAACCTGTATTGATTTTGTTCTACAATATCGCGACGTCGTTGAGGGACCTCTGCGAACCAATAGCCGAGGCGATGGGCCTGTTCCTGAGGGAAATCGCGAATCTCTGCGCCGCGATCAGGCTCGTGGAGGTGAAGCACGTTCACGCCCCGACCACTGCTACTTGAGCTCGTAAACGAAAATTGGAGACTCTTGAAGATCGAGCTTTAGTAACTTGACTAAAGATTCTTGAAGAGCAAACACAATACGCTCGACAATAGCAAAGCTAAAATGTGAAAGTTATAAAATTGCAATTTTGCTCCAGTACGGAGATTGGTCGAATAACCTTCATATTTTAGCATTCTCAAAGGATTTTCGCGAATCCGAGGATCACAGATCCATTCCTTAGAGGAATCTGCATTCCTGCGTGACGCACGTTCGATACATCACCAACAACACATGCCTTAACACCAGGTATATATTTGGTATTATTTTAACTTTACAATATTATTATTGTATCATTTTTTTTACAGAACAAATTATCTCTTATAGCAACTAGCTTTGTCAATAATAATCAATGTTCTTTGTCACTTTCGTGCATGCTCTCGCTCTCTCATCTTCTTTCTTTCGTTCTTTCTCTCTCTTCCCCTTTCTCGTGTATCTTACCATTTAATAAATTATGTACAATCTCACAAACAACAAACGGAGGAACCTAATTACATCATTTAGTTGTTCACACTTTGCTATGTACAGGTACTACTGGTATATCTTTTCTCATTTTTACAGAATCGCTGCTTTCTCTCATTCTCTCCCTCGCACTCTCACTCTCTTTCTCTCACTCTCTCATACTTCTCCTCTCTTTTACCGGCCGATCGTATCGCAATAAACCTTATTTTTCGCATGTAATCTACAAAAAGAAAAAAAGGAGACAAAAAGAAACCGAATGAACGAACGTATCGCCTATCGTCACCTAGTCTCAGGAACTGCAACCTCTGCTCGCTCGCTATGACGCATCGCAGCGATCTAGGTGGTACTGCTAGTGTTCGTGGTGGTCGGAGTCTCCTGGATGGCTAAGGTCTGCGAAGGCGCGGATGTCGAGTCACCTGCAAGCAACCAGCCAAGGGAGGGATCAATAACATAAAATCAAACGTGTATCTCTCCGGGCTGTATAACGTACTAGACTAAATATAAACTTAATGTACCGTAATTGGGTTCGTCCCTTAATCGCGCGTAACTTTGACCCATAACTGACAAAGGAACATTCCCTCTCTCTCTATATATATCGATAGTTGCCAACCCTGCTTTCGATAACGAACACCGCGGGAGTTATCGAAAGCACTTCCATACACAGCCATTCTTTTTTTAAACAAATTCTTCTCTAGCTCAATCCGAGCACCGATTTGTGATTCAATCGTCTGCTTCGTTAAGGGTAGTTATGTAGTTGTTATAGTAACGAGAAGATTCCCTGATGAAGGTGACCCCCTATTGATCGTCAAGAAAGAAATATTCCGTCGCTCAAAATGCGCAATCCAGTCTCGGATCTCTCGCCGGCATTGCGTAATCGGCATCGATCAATACCACATCGGCGGCGACGACGCGACGGTCGCGACGGCAACGTATAAAACTTACCCAAGAGGGCGGCCTCCAAGTCCCCCAGGATCTCCGTCTCCTTGGGGTCTATAAGGTTGAAGCGTTGATTAAGGAGCGTGAGGTGGGCGAATACACAATTGAGGTGAGCGTGCAACCCCAAAAGCGCCACCTCCCTGAAGTGGCAGTGGTAGATGTGTGCCACTACGTGGTACAGTAGCCGCAGGATCTTACGCACTATCGACTCGAACGAGCTCGGGAACTCGTTTGCTGAAAAACATCACGGCGAAATTAACATCGGTCGCTTGATCATATAACGTAAACGCGAATAAGGTCAATAATAAACCGTTCGATCAATAATAAATCTTGGGAGCGTTACGTACTAACTAAGTTATAACGTAGTTAATTAATTATATCGAGATATATATGCCAAGTAGAATGAATTAAATACATAGCGTTAAGGGAAAGGCAACTTACCATATTTTGTAGGGAATATAGTTTCGTCGCTAACGGTGCGTTGCGTAAATGTCATAACGTAGTCTATATATTGTGGCGCCGCAACCCTCGTTTTCTTTCCCTTTTCGTCGAACCACAGATACGTTCTGGAACAATAAATCAATCGTCACAAATCGATATCGACTGTTTCGAGTGCAAAATGACATGACGTGCAAATGACGTACGTAAACAATTTCGATCAAACTTGCGTTGATGAAAGATGTTTTGTTGGAAACGCGATGACAATGTGACTGTGCATTTGGCAAAGATCGTATGTTATATAGATATCAGGGGATAGAAACCGCGACAAAAACTGACAGTTTCAGTTACTGAAAGAGCCGAATGGATGTTTACGCTCCAATAAAAGTATCGCACGATTAAAAGACACTATATTTCTTGAAAACCTCTTTCGGAGCTGAAGGGGACAAGGGGACACGTACCTTAAGCCGGGTCCGGTCATGTCGGGACAGCCCGTCATGGTGCAGAACTCGGATATCGTGCCGTAGACGAGATTAATATGGTCAAACAATGCGAGGGTGTGCGACGCCAGCCACTCGTTGTAGTCCAGGCCGGGCGGTAGGTCCACGAGCATCCTCAGGTCCAGCTCCGGTAGCTGCCTCTCGAGGGCGGCCTCCTCCAGGTACAATTTCGGATCCTCCGTGGTTCCCGCATCCTTCTCCTTTCGTCTGGCCTTTCTGCAAAACGAGAAAGCGGTCGCACGGTCAGTGAGACAATTCCTCTTTGGAAAAATTCTTTTCAAAACGCTCAAGCCAATCAAGCAGAATCACGGATGTCGCGTGTAAAAGGCGCAAATGTGTACATGTAACACAGCACAGCCTCGTGTGTGGATGAGATCGATAGGCACGCTGTCCGAAACCAAATTGATCGGTTCTTTTGGAGATTGTTCTTTATAAAATTTTATTGTTATGAAAAGAGTATAGAGTTCACGATTAAGTAAGTTTGATTTCAACAGTTTATACAGTGATGAGAGAATACTTGCAAAAGAAGCGAGAAAAAATCGGATCTATCATGTAGAATATAGAATTGATATTGAATATTGAACTACAGAGAAAATAATTGAAGATTAAAATTATGAAAACGTGCCAATCGTAAATATAAATGATAATGTCACAGAAGACAATACACTAATATCGAGTGCGGTATGTCGTTTAGAGCAAATCTCCGGGAAAGTCAACGAAAGTGCCAAGAAATTTTTTTACAACGCACCATCGTTGTCGATTTCATAGGAGACCGCTAATTTGCGGTCTCCAGATTGACCGGAACAGATTGAACAAAGCGTTTTGTCTTTAATCGGCTGACACGAATTCATTAATCAAATCGGTGAATTATCGGATTTGCACGATTACCCTCGACGCTTCCCGAGTCTATTCAATTTCTCTTTAATTTATCAGCGAAGCCGAGCGTGGTGTTTCTCACATCACACTCTCAGGAACGAATTCTTTTTCTGCGTATATAAGACGCTAGAGAACGTTTCCAACATCGCTTAATTAGAAATCTTTCGATGGAAAAAGTCACAAAATAGTATTGGTTAGTGGAAAATTACAAATAATTATAAAAATCAATTACAATGCGCTATTATCGTACGCAATGTAGAAATTTTACCTTACTTTTGATAGTAATATAGCTCTAACATTATAATATGTATAAAACACTATATTTTACATATTAATAATACACAGGATATCCTACTATATTGCTATATCAAATTTTAATCAATATTTCTTATAAGCTTTAAAAAAATTTTTCGTTAAAATAACAAAAAAATATTTTTAGATAAAATTAATTAAATTTAAATGCTATTGAATTTCTTGGACATAAATTGCAAATTTTTAATTAACGTTTGATGCCAGAATATAAAACAAATTATGAACTGAGACCTGAGACGTTGATTAATTGAACCTTCGCAAAAGGAAAGTCTACTCCAAATAATTTGTTATCGGAACTTTATTCAAGAGACATCCTGTGTGTATTTAATACAAAAATCTATTTTTTTAAATATAATTATTAGTGGATACATATAGATACACATACATATATGAAATTGCGAGATAATACAGTAGAATCTTATTATTACGTAGGTGCAAAAGATTTGGTGTATAATCTATCAAATAAAGTTAAAAACAAAGTTATACATTTTTGTAGCACTTTTAGCAAACTAAAATAGTTATCATTGACTATGCTCCTTCTATCCAAAAAATATTTTTTTTATTTGTTTTTTCGAAAAATTTAGATAACCATCATTTTCCTTAAAAATGGAAAGAGAAATTTCTTGCACCAACTTAATAATATTCTAGTAAAAATGAAGAAAGTAAACGGTAATTCCAATTAATGCGCGAATCGCACAAGAATACGCAACTAACATAGAGAAGTGTTCTTGTCTGCACGTGAGGACTAAACATTAACAACTGGTTTTCGGCTCGAGCTTGCTCAGTACGCAGCAGCCGTGTCGCACATTCAGCTTCCTGCCAGTGAAAAATGCAATTACATGCAATAACGATAGCAGCGAGGTTCAGCCACGTCTACACGATCCAAAGCTCACGCGCACAAATCTCTCTCCAGAAAGCGCGCACATGCTTTCCATGCTCCTGGAAAGAAGCTGCATCTCCGTATAGAAGGAAAAAGGCTGACGTAAGTCAGCCCAGATATACAAATTTATCCTTGTCCAATGACGTGTGTCTCTAATCGCGTACAACAGTCATCTCGTACAATAATACTCTCTCGTCTATGACGCTATCGATGCCTCGGGCATATGTTACGGCAATTTATTACGGACACTCGACTCTTCCCATTTCAATCCGTATATCTCGCGTAGAAGATGCGCTTTAATTACACCGGGCTAATTTCCACGTTACGGCACGCACATATGCACATATGTATCTATAACACGATATCGTTTTTGCGGAAGGGGGGAGGGGAAGGAGGGAAAGGGGGACGGCCGGGGTGGAGAGGACAGGAAACTCACGCGACTAGCTCGCCGAAGAGCCGGATCTTCCTATGGCAGGTGTCGAGCAGGGAGAGACGCGAGGAGGAGGCGCTGCTCGAACTGCCGGTCCCGGTACCGGCGCCGCCGTGGTGGACCGGCGTCGGCGGCGCTGAGACGGTCGTGGCCGTCGAGGATGCCACCGCGGCCGCCGCCGCCGCGGCAGAAACGGATGCGGAAGCAGAGGAGGGCACCCGTAGGACGGTGACGGCGCCTCGCGCCGGCGAGCGTAGCATCGTTCCCGTCGTCTTCGTCGTCGCGATCGTCGTCGTTGAGGACGATCTCCTCGGCCTCGGCGCACCGCCCTCGTGCCCGAGGATCCGCTCACGCACGCTGGGTAGGCACCAAATCTTGTTCGTTTGTCATCGAACGTTGGTCAGCACGCGCCGGGACGGCTTTCTCCGGATCTCCCTCTTATGCAGAGACCGGTGCGCGGTGGCGAGCTATCACTCGGCCGAGAATCCCCGAGCGTGGTAAATAATCTCTTTGGTATCGAGGACGGAATGTTCGTATCGAGGGATTATATCGGAGAATCTCCTTTCGGTGCACCTGTTAATGGCAGGTTTGAGAATCGGTCGGATCCGTCTAGATTTTGATTTCTTCTCTATTCCGCGCTCCTCTTCTTTTTCTTCTTCTCTAAAATCCGTTCTAAATACTCGTGTACTATAAATGTGTTCAAGTTTCTTAGTAACGATATTTTCTCACTCCGTGCTGAAAAAACGAGGAGTAATCAGCAAATCACTTGATAGTCGTGCATCTCGGATTTGCAGATCTTAATTTTCCTAGCCTGAGAACGTGAGACTGATGTCAAGTGTTACTTGATTGTCATGCATCTTAAATGCATGCTTCGGTTCTTTCAGAGAGTTCATATGCGTTATTCCCTCAGATGATTTCCTCGGATAATTCCTCCAAATTGAAAGCGGCCTAGCTAAACTAATCTCGGATTCTCGTTCATCTCGCCGTGTTATTCATCGGCTTACCAGGTCTGGCGATTTGTTCAGTAGCATAGATGATGGTGACGCCCGATCTACTATTCGGCTGAAGAAGAAATATGTAGCTCGCGGGAAGACGACGGAAGTTGCGGAAGACACGCTGTTTGGAAGACAATCGATCTCGTTTACGGTAGTCGTGAAAGATCGTTCATCGTCGATCTGGAGCAAAATTCGAGCGTTTGCTTTCGGTGAACAGTTTTATCGGAAAAGAATAATGATTCAAGCAGAACCCGCGTATATAGCTACTGTGCGGATTAATGTAAGTACTGATTATAGTCCCGAATTTCCATTTTTTGATCAGCGTAGCAGATACGAGGCTGTACATACGAAATTATTATCCCCCGCGAAATTATTACTCCCGAGGAATCTACATTTCGGAGTATCAATAAATTACACTTCACCCGGCTTTCTCACGTTCTCTCTCGTCTACGTATTCTCTCTCGGCGTGTCCTCGCGGCGATCCGCCAATCCAGAAAAATTCGGGCAATACGCGTAGCTGGCGCGGCGCCAGGCCGGCCAGGCTTCTCGTTTTTCGAGCTATCGTCGCGAGCCTGTCGCTTCGATGTCTTTCAGGAACTGGGTTATCACGTACACGTGCGTCCGTAACGCCACGAGGAAAAATATAGCTAGGAGCTGGGGGGGATTAGCGATTCCGGTCGGCCAAAATAGAATCGATGATCGTCTCGTGACGAGTACCTCGAGCGAGGGCGGATAAGTTCGGGCGAGTTCGTGCCTTAACTAACTTTTCGCGCATGTGGAATTACGCTCCGCAATATCCCGCAAACGTGCAGAACTCGCAGCTATCGTGTTACGAAGTTCGGTATCGCGATTTTGTTGACGTTAATGAGTGTTGAATGTAGAGAATTATCGGCGAAATCTAGCTTACTGTGATACGGTGATATCAAATGTAATATAACACAAAAACAAAATACAATATAAATATAATGAATTTTATCAATATAATGTAAATCATCATTATACACAACGTCATTTAAAGAACGTAGTACGAATAAACGCGTTTCATTCTAGTGGACGGACGCTCGTTTTGTACTTTATACTTTGCCTTCGTTTTTTCGCGAGCGCTTGTTTTATTGGCGCAAAAGTCCACATTGCTTCCGCCAACATTATTTCCTGCCGCGAGTTATCGGTGCGCAGGTAAAACGCGAACTTTGCGCTAGACCGAACTCTCATAACACACGCGGCAGAAGTCGAGAGAGACTTATGTTTTCTGAGATTAAAACGATGCATGCGATCACCATTTTCCTTTTACGATCTGCTTTTCACAAAGAGAAATAAATAGTCACTCAAGAAATATCTTATATCTTAAAAGATAAAAAAAATAGACTAATATAAAAACCTCGAGGGCGCGTGTGTGTCACGCAAAATGATTTTATGATAATTCACGTAAATTAAAAAATAGAGAGATCTCTCAGCGCGTAAGTCTACCTTATTTTAATAATTTACAATTATGACTACGCTGCAATTTACTGACAGACAATGAGAAATAATAGTGCGCACTGGCGACTTATCAACCCGGTTAGCCGTCCGAGCGGAAACTCGAGCGTCGTCGCCGCGGCCGCATCGCGTCGATGCGTCGCGAAGTGAACGAAATCGAGCCAAATAGCTATACCGACGATTTCGAACAACTCGACGGAGCTGTGACGTTTGCGTCCTTGATCCTGACCCGGACGAGGTCACGTCGGTCTTCGTCCAAAATTTAATCATGCAACCCGGGAGTAGCGATTTACCGAACAAAGATAAGTTGCGATTTTCCCTTCCGACGCGAAATTTAAGTAATATTAATATAAAATTCATGTATTATTTATATATTATATACAATATAATATATATGAAATAACATTTTCAATTTATTTTTGTGAACGAAATACGCTGCCAAATTTGGCGATCTATTTCAAGAACGCTTAAGTGTCTCTTTATCCCGCGGGAATTAAGAAAAAAATTCCACGTCCATCTGCTTGGGACTAAATTCAGCTACTTCGGCCTCGATTCTGACAGAAAGAATCCGTCACGGTCAGCCTCTCGGCGAGAATCCCGAAGGATCAGGGGAGTAAATAAAGGACCACCTTATTTTCTCGTTCCCTAGAGTTCCCGAAAACATAACGTTTTCTAAAAAATTCACAAGAATTTCTAGGCATGCCAGAAGGTCTATTTAACCTCCGGTTTATATTGTTTCAATCTCCTTTCTTTCTCTTATGTATATCCCTCTTTCATTACGTAATAATAATCCTCTGTTTAATTTCCAACTCTCTCAGAGATAATAATTTCCACTCTTTTCCGGGATGTTCATCGCGCAAAATCCAATGGAATTATTCTGACGTAAAAAAAAACGCTGGCAAACAATTCATTTCAGTTTAACAGACTTGAAAAGGCATCATTAAACTCTCTATAGATATTTTAAAGAAAAAAAAATTTATGAGTGTTTTATATGTATTATTTCATTTTTATTCTCGTCAATATTCTTTTCATTAATCAACCTGTCTAAAAAAATACACGTTGCGAACGTTTCCTCGCGAGATCATCGCACCCTATCCTGCCCTTCTCTAATTCCCTAATCGAATCACGCTGCATCGCGTCCGCAGATCGCTGTCATGGACCTTATGGACCATATGACAGATCACGACGAGCGGAAAGACGTTTTCTCTTTCACGTTGAAAGAACGAGAGAGGCGGGAATGGTATGCCGTCGTAAACTTTCTAAACCGTATACGCCGATCGTACGTATCGAGCTGGCCGTCGTTCCGACGAGGCGTTGTCCGCGCATTTCGCGGCCGCGAGTCGGCGATCCGGAGACTTTTCCTCTTCTTTTCCTCCTCCTTCTCTTCTTCCTTCCGGAAGTGAACGTAGCTCGAAGTGTCGCAAACCCGACCTCACGTGACGTAACGCGACGCGTCGCCGTCAAGCGCACGGACGCGACTGCCGAGAGTGTCGTGGCCGAGATCGCGGAGTCGTTATCGGTGGGAGGACGAAGGGAGCCACAGCTGAAACGCGCCGATGTGCAGCGCGAATTAGAGCCGATGCCCGGATACCAACAAATATCTACCGACAGTTTCGCTATGTGCGTTTCCTGATGGAAAAGCTCCGACATTTTTTGGATTCTCGAAATCTTGAAAAACAACGAGAAAAGATTAATGATTCGTTAACAGAGCAGAGAAAAGCAAATACGGAACTTCCCGCTTTGATATGTTTGTAACGGTGAAAGAGTTAACGAAAGTTAACAAAAGTTACAGAATGGAATTTAGTACTACGGCTTCCAGATACGATTATTAAAAGGCAGCACAGTAACGAGATGGTGCTTTGAAGTAAACTATTCAATCGATTCGTGTTAGACGTGCCAAATAATTTCTGGACATGATAAACGTGCCTGGAATCAGGAGCATTGCCTTTCATTATCGTCCCTGCTTGATTGTCGCACCAACCTAACTTAAATTTATTTAATTTAAATAATTTACCTAATCGCCTTAATTTTATTATCAGATTTATTTTAAATTAGTTATTGAGCTAACAACGTTTATCGATGCTCTTTTGTTTCACATTGTGTTTAATGTATATTGGGAGATCCTCCTCTCCCAGCATCTCGTTCAATTATTCGACTATATGCGCAGGACCGAGGTATACATGCTCGCGCATGCACATTTCTGTCCGGTAAGCTATTCCGTCGACGCTGTTTCGTGCTCCACGACATTGCGTGTGATATTAATGCAATCGCGAGATATGAGCGCGTTGATCTCTGCCAGATCTGACCTTCCCTTGCCTAACTCGGAGCTGGAAGGGATTAGCATGACCGCGGAACACTGACCAGCGCACATAAATTCCGATAGCTTCGCAAAGAGGAACTATCGATATTTATATTAAAGCCATACGGAACGTTTAACACAAAGCGCAAAGATAGAACAAATGCCTTTGTCGAATATAGTATGTTTAGAAATAGAAAAATTGGAATATTACAAATATATTTGATACACTTATACATTTTGTACTTAAAAAATCAAGTATCAAAAAAACCCATTTTACGTATCTTTATCGTGTAAGCTATCGTGTCGTGTTCTCGTAATTTTATTTATACCTATAATCAAACCCATGTCCTTGAAAAATTGAGAAATGTGTAAGACATAAAAATATATAAAAATAATCTAGAATTTATTTTAAATCTGGATCTTAGGATAAAAATTGTAGCTCCTGCAATTACCAAGCTTGAGTGGAAGCCCATTTTTCTTCAATGAACAAGTTATTTATGGCGAGTAGCGATCAATCGATTGATGCCAGAAGCCAGAAATATCTATCCAACGTGTGCATACATAAAAAACGGGCTTTGTCAAACGAATACCAATTTCAGTCGCAAAATTGAATTAACTTGGACACGCCTCGTGTCCGTCCGCAACGATCGGAGTGCGTCGCGCGTAGCCACAAAAGTGCGACACCCTCGCCATTTACCCTTTTCCCCAACGAGGAAAACGAGATATCCGACAAAATGTCCAATGAAATTAGTTTCGCCGGCTTCGGCCGGTCGGAATATCCGCGAGTTTCGGAGTCACGTTCAGGTCAACTCGATTTATTCACGAGAGAACGGAAAACTTATTTATTCCCGTCGCATTTTCTGCCGTACTTTGTTTCCCTTCTCCCTTTCTCGTTTTTCTTCCTCAAAGAGCCTAAAATGTATTGCGCTTCAAAGGGACAGTCACGGGTATGCACGGAGGATATAGAGGCAAGAAGAGGGAAGAGATGTCCGTCGTGAAGGACGAGGGACGGCGAAGAGGAGAAAGAAAGAAAGAGGGAGAGAAGCGCGAGGGCGGCAATGCGACGGTGGTTGCGCCACCACGGCACGGCGCGGCGCGGCGGCGTGTGTCGGATCAGCTGTGAGTCGGGTAACACGAGTCAGCTGACTGTCGAACGGACGGCGGGCAATGCGCGTGGCGCGGCGGCGAGGGGTAGCGGTGCCCCCGAGCCCCAAGCCCCGAACCCTGACTCTGCGACAATCAATATTCCGCTCCACCCCCGCCACCCGCCGCGCCACGCTGCTCATCGCTCCGCGCAGCGCGCGGGTATTCTCTCCCATTCTATCTCTCTGATCTTTCCCTCGGATCATGTGTCGCTTTGTATCTTCGTATCTTTGTATCTTTGTATCGCGTATCAGTCTTCCTC